CTGGCTCACTTTTATGGGACTCCAGGTGGCTTTATAATATCTCTGTTCCATATCACTTAGCAGGTTCTAGCATGCTGCAGGATGGATGTTGCAGTTCACAGAAGTCGGCAACAAAAAATGGGCTGTTTTCTTCTTGCAGAATCACAGAATACAGCTAGTCCTCGGCTTACAACAGTTCATTTAGTGACCGTTCAAAGTTACAGCGGCACTGGAAAAAGGGACATATGACCATTCCATTGCAGCTTCCCCAGTCCACGTGATCAAAATTCAGATGCTTGGCAGCTGATTCATATTTATGACGGTTGCAGTGTCCTGAGGTCATGCAATCACTTCTGACAAGCAAAGTCAATGGGGATGCCAGATTCACTTAACAACCGTATTACTAACTTAACCACTGCGGTGACTCCCTTAACAACTGTGGCAAGACAGGCTGTAAAATGAGGCAAAATTCACTTAACAAATGTGTCACTTAGCAACAGAAATTTTGGGCTCAGTTGTGGTCATAAGCCGAGGACTACCTGTATTCCATGCATCGCGTCTGTGTTCTGAAGGCCTGGAAAAGATCCTAATGTTGTAGGACAAGCCAGATCCTTGAAAGTGCCACTTAAGCACTTTTGTCAGCAGGAAATTCCCTTCAATTATACCCACACATTAGTGCCACTTGAGCACTTTTGTCAGCAGGAAATTCCCTTCAATTATACCCACACATTTATTAACAAATATTTATTAGAAAGTAATAATATTCATTTACTGTATCAATAAATATATTCCTTGGAATATTATTTCTTTGGAATTAGTATGTGGCCGGACCACACCCATCTGCCTTAGTGCACTGTAGTGCTTTCAATATACCGCTGGCCAAAAGAATTTACAAGTTTCCCTTTTTGTCAGAACTGGATATGAAATCAATATAAATAATAGTTGGCCAGAATCACTTCATGTGTGAGATTTGTGTGCAATCATTCCTCAATAATCAGGATGCCATTGGTGGACCCAGCTGCACAGTTGAAATTGATGAGAGCCTGTTCATTCAGCAAAAATAAAATGTGGGAAGACTGTGTAGGTAGGAAACAGGATTGTTGGAGGTGTCTGTCATGAGACAGGACACTGCTTCATACCTACTGTGGATGATTAATCTGCCACCAATACTGGCAAATGTAATTATATCATCTGTTTTACCTGGCTGTACAATTGTAACAGATAGTTGGCATGGTTATATGAATTGGAAAATATTCCTAATAATTGCAAGAAAAGGAAGAATTTGGAGATCCTGTGTGTTACACAAACACACACAGTGGAAGGTATGTAGAATCTTGCCAAAATGAAGAATACTGAGGTGTGATTGACAATTACCTCTGTGATTTTAGATACTGACATCATAATCATAAGGATATCTTCAAATGCACTGTACATTCTGCATTATAAATTATTGATTGCTAAAATTTTGCAAAATTTCCCAGTGAATTTATCTGCTGTCCAACCAAAATCTTTTAGATAAAATACTTTATCACTAGTGACTGGCAAAAAAGGAACAAGAACTTGGGAGTGACCAAGAATAGAAAGTTATGCTGGGGATCTACAGTACTGAAATATTAGAATTAATTGACTATCTCCTGAATTAGTCATGCTTCCATGGACTCATTGAGATAAATGGATATAAAGCAAAAACACTTTAAAATAAAGAGTTATAAATTAAATATATAAATTTAATATACATAAATTGCTATTTTATTGATCAGGCATCTGAAGACATTTTTTATTCTTAGAGTTAAATGTACGTCGCAGTCTTATGTACAACTTATAAATAAGACTTAAAAGATGAGGAGGGGGGGTGTTTCCATACAAACACCAGGAATTTAGGGTGGAGGAAACAAGCAAAAGTTTTGAAGAATGAAATAAATTCAATGATGAAAATCCTTTCTTGCAATCATAATTGTGCTCATTCATCCTGCTGAACCTTTTGCTCATTTTTTGGGGCTGAGGTGCACATTTAAAAGCAGTAAAGGTAGAATAGAATTGAAGTAGGGATATGAACTTAGGGATATGGTTATTAAGCAAAACATCTCATGTCTGTACCACTTAATGGCAGTACTTCTGTAGACTCATTTGCAATCATTACAATAATTCTGCCTTGTCATTAGTCTCATCTTTATGTCCTGCTGCATTCATTTCTGCTTCAAATCCCCCACCCACTTGCCTTCCACACACACACACCCCAAGTCTCTGCCCTATTGGCTGCCCTGTGCTCTATCACCATTGCCATCCCCAGCTATCCTCTGTTTTCTGTTTCTGCTGTCAAAGCACACCCGGCTTGGCCTTTTCCAAGAAAAGTCTCCGGACTCTGGAAGCCTCACTGCACAGACAGCACAGGAAGAAGACAGCGAAGGTCAGCTGGGTGTAGCAGAGACAGCAGAGTGCAGGGCATCCAAAAGGACAGAGATAGGGAGAGTCAAAGACACCCTCCAGTTATAAATGCAGGCAAGCTGTCAAGCATCTGAATTTTATTACATGACTAAAACATGAAGAACAATTGCAAGAATTGGTTATGTCTAGCCTAGTGAAAAGAAGGACTAGGGGAGATGTGATAGCAGTGTTCCAATATTTGAGGGGCTACCACAAAAATAAGGGGGGGGGGAGTTTCAACCTATTTTCCAAAGCACCAGAAGGCAAGACAAGAAACAATGGATGGAAACTAATCAAGGAGGGAAGCAACCTAGAACTAAGGAGAAATTTCCTGACAGTGAGAACAATCAACCAGTGGAATAGCTTTGCCTTGTGGGTGCTCCATCACTGGAAGTTTTTAAGAAGAGACTGGACAGCCATTTGTCTGAAATGGTCTAGGTCTCCTGCTTGAGAAGAGGGTTGGACTAGAAGACCTCCAAGATCCCTTCCAGCTCTGTTATTCTGATCATTGGGCCACTACAACGGCTGTAGCTTTGAAGACCCAACCTAAGTACCATTTGTTCAGTGCCGTCATAACTTCTAACAGTCACTTTATTAAATGAGGACTATCTGTGGTTTTTTCCTGAAGTCAAATTCAAAACTGCATCTTTATTCAAGATGGAAGGGTAGCTATTTTGATCATATATGCAGGTTGTGAAGTGTTTTCCGTACTTTCTATGAAATCCTGAAAAATTGACTAATTTTATGGCTTATGGTACAAAACAAAATTGAACATGACGGAATTGTCTGTGTTGTTCTAAAGTACAAGTCAGGCCCCAAGGATCAATCTAATGTGTTGGCATTGTTTCCATCACTCTGTTAAAGTCCTTGGCTTTATAAATTGAGCCCCAGTCTAATCGGACAACAACCCCAAAAGGCGGGCAAATCTAGAACATCTGGGCCGATTAGCATCTTTTCTTTTACATATCATTTTGTATATAAGAATTGGGCTTTATTTATTTTGATTCTAATATCAAAGTCCTTAGCCTCTTTTATGTTATATAAGCATAATTTAAATCACTAAGTAAAGAAATGAAAGTTTATTTTCTTGTGGGTTTTAAATAAAAAAGCAGTTAATTTTGGGAAAGCAATTTTTAACCAAACAGTTCAACTTATTTTTCTAAAACTTAAGATACTTAAATATAAAATATTAAATGAAAACAATATATTTAAAATCAGAAAATAGCAATTAAATTAATATAAACAGGAATGGAAAGAGAAAAAAGTTGTAAAAATAAGTGGAAAAAGATAGGTTTGCACCTGTTTCTTCTAAAAGCTAGGAAAATTAGGATATATTTGGGCTGATCCTCTGCTGTACAAACGATCTATATTCTATGATATCAGGATGTTTCTGTATAAAACAGAAAATTAGATACTATGGTGTTATATGCTGCACTATAAACCTTTACTAAACTTGCAACCATTCATTTAGTGACCATTAAAAGTTACAGCAGCACTGAAAAAAGTGACTTACCACCGGCCTTTGCATTTATGACCTTCGCAGCATCTCCAGTTACATGATCCAAATTCAAGCACTTGGCAACCATTGCAAGCTTCCCGTGACTGCCACTGGTGTCTTTCCCAGCTGGCTTCAGACAAGGAAACTCAATGGAGGAAGGTGGATTCGCTTAACGATTGCACGATTTATTTAACTGCAGCCTTTTGCTTAATTATGGCAAAAAGGTCGTAAAGGCGGTTACACGTTACCACCGCCCTGCTTACCAACAGAATTCGGGTCCCCGTTGTGGAAATAAAGTCAAGGGCTACTTGCGTGCGATTGCAAAGGCGCCCTCGCCATTCAGAAATTATGTTCTATTTTAGCCTCCGGTGCAAATGCAACCCTTGCGCTTTGCAACCAGCATCCGTGGCTTCTTCGCCTGAAGACGCTCCCTTGCGGCTTATGCACGGAGGCAGCCCCGCCTGCATGGGAAGAGAAGGGGCCACGGCGTCCCCTCGGAGGGCGCGGCACCAAAGGACCCGCAAGACCAATTTCCCCACGCGTAATAGCAGCAATAATAATAATATAAGCCGCTCCTTTAACTGCTTTCGCGCAAAGGATTCTGGGAAATGTATTTTGAGCCGGGCGCTGGGGAGTCTCCATCGGCGCGAACTCTCTTCCCACTCAGCGAGACCCAGCAACCAATGGACGGACTCCGGGGAGGCCCACGCAAGACCAGTAGCCATCCGGCCCCCGGCACTTCCACGCAGGGAAGCCGGCGCAGGAGCCAGATCCTCGCGTGTTCCGCGCAATTCCCGCCTCGGCCAGAAAGGGGCGGGGTTAGAGGGAGAGCGCGCGCGCGCTAGTGGGCAAGAGTGGGCGGGCACCGGCCCCGCCTCCGAGCGCAGAGTGGCGGCGTGGGGCCGAGCGGCAGGCGCGGCGGCCAACGGGAGCGCCCGAGCTCGTCCACGTCACTGGCCGGCACGCGGGCCCGCGGCTGAGGTAAAGAAGCGGAGCGCGTGGCGGGGCGCCGTGGCTGCCTCGGCGGCGCATGGAGGCGATGCCGTGCCGCGACCGGCGCGTGGGCTCGGCGGGGGTTTCGCCGGCGGCAGAGCCCGGGATGCCGGCGGGCGGCGAGGGCGGGCCGCGGCAGCTGCGCTTCGCCGACCCCGGCCCGGGCAGCGGCGACAGTCTCAGCCCGGATAGCAGCAGCAGCGGCGGCGGCGCCGGCGGCGCCGAGCTCAGCCGCTGCTGCTGCACCGGCGGGAATGGCTGCTGCGCGGGCGACGGGGGCGCCGAGGCGGCCGAGGCGACGACGACGACGACGACGCTTCCCGACTGGCCGGGGTCGGCGGCGGCCCAGCTCAAACTGCTGCCCATGAACGACCAGATCCGGGAGCTGCAGACCATCATCCGGGACAAGTAAGCGCGGGGCGCCGGCTGCCCTCTGAGCGCGTGCAGAGCGTCCGCGTGGCTGACGGGGCGCCGGGGGGGTGGGCGGCCCCGCGCGGGCGTTGCAAGCAAGCAAGCGGGGTGCCGGGCAGGTGGGCAGCCTCGCCCGCGCGGGGAGGGGTGCGTCGCCGCTGGGGGAGCCAGCCGTCCGGCCGGGAGAGGAGCCGAAGGGCCGGCCGGGCTGCGGGCTGCGGGCTCCGGTACGGGCGGCAGAGACCATCATGCTGAGCTGACTCGGGAATTCTGGGAATTGAAGTCCATGAGTCATAAAAGAGCCGAGGTTGCCTACCCCTGATCTGGGTCAACCCAAGGCGGTGAACATGTCTGATCAGAACAGGTAGTGCTCCACTTACGGCCACAACTGAGCCCCACATTTCTGTGGCTAAGTGAGACGTTGGCTAAGTGAGTTTTGCCCCCTTTTGCGACTTTTCTTGCCACCATTGTGACCTGAATCGCTACAGTGCTTAAGTTAGCCACATGGTTGTTAAGTAAATCCGGCTCCCCCATTGACTTTGCTTGTCCGAAGGTGGCCAAAGGGGGGGATCACAGGACCCCAAGACATTGCAACCGACATAAGTACGAGTCCGTTGCCAATAATCTGCATTTTCATCACGTGGCCCTGGGGATGCTGCAGTGGTCGTAAGGGTGAAGAATGGCCACATGTTCGCTTTTTCAGTGCCCTTGTCACTTCGAACAGTCACTAAATGAATTGTTGTAAGTCGAGGACTACCTGTACTTCTGCCTCCTATTTCCCTTACCGCAGCAACCCTGTGAGGTAGGTTTTTTATTGCTTTTAATATAAAGAAAGTAACAAAAAATGTTAGAAAAAAATGTTACGCTCTTCTTTAAAAAAAAGCAAATTTAAGATAAAGCACTACAGCTGACTAGTGGAATAATATTGATCAATTTTTTTAAAATTTATGTTTTGAGAAAGAGCCAACTTCATAAGCACAGAGGGGTCTTTATAGGTAAGCATGTTGATGTAAAAATGTCGGCCAGGCAAATGCTTCAGCGGGTAAACGAGTACAAGTATGTGGATTCTTGGTTTTCGGTCTTCTGAAATACAGGCAAGTTACTCTTGGTGTGTAATAATTCTTGAGGTAATATTTATCAGAAATGCATGAGAGATGGGTGAGTCATCCATCCAGATTTTACACAGCTTAGAAGAGTATTAAAGTACAGCCACGCCAGATGATCCTGGCCCAGGGCATCTTCTATTCTGTAAAGACATGGGCCTGGGCGGGGGCAAGCGATGATGTCTTTGAACCATCAAAGGAGTGCAGTGAAGCCTGTTCTGAAAGGCAGGCAGGCAGGCAGGCAGGCAGGCATTCAGGGCAGGGCTTTCAGGGCAGGGCTTTCAGTTCAAGTCTGCGTCAGTCAAAGTTCAGGGAGTGTGCCCGTGCAAGTCTGCCTCTGCTGTCTCACTGTTCTTGGCTTGCACTCAGATCTGGTTTTGTCATGGTACTGTAAGATGTGATGAGTCCAGCTGTCTTTTATTAAAAACATTTTCCTTTATACGTAGATGCAAAAGAGCTCTTGGGCTAGGCAGGCTTTTCAGATGAAATGAATGTTCTTGCAATAACCTTGTTTAATGGAGACTGATGGATTTCTCACATTGCACAGACCTGTATGGGTTAGTTTGCAGCTGAGCACAGGATTGCATAATATGAGAAAGACCAAAGGTTTGTCAGCACATTTTTAAAGTGACAGAAAAATGTATTGAATGCATTTATTATTAATAAAACTTAGGGTTTTTTTTTCCTGGGCCCACCCATTTGGCTGGGGGCCCTCATGCCACTGAAAGACTTAAGTGTGGCCTTTATGCAAGAAAGCTTTAGCACTCCATCCACCCCTGAGTTAGCATTACTGAACTCAACCACTGTGCTTATAAAGCTATATGTTTTGACCTAATGTATAGAATAAAACTCGCTGTGATTTACTCAGTGATCGTTGTTAACAAAATCATTTTACTGTAATGCATTAACTCAGTTATTATAGCATTAGTGAAGTTGGAAGCAAAAGAACCCATACTGTAGCTGCAATATGAAGCCAGAATTTTGTGTTCTGAGAATAATAATTTCAAAATATATTTTCCTTTTTGCTTGTAGGTCACTAGCAAAGTATATGACTTCACCTCAGGCTTCTTGCCAGCTCTAGTAGTTAAAGCAGATAGAGACATCCGGGTTCATTATTTGCTGGTACACATAAACCAGCTTCTCAAGTTTGTTCTTTTTCTAGCCAGTCACAAAATTTGTTCAGAAACAAGCTATTTCTCATTCATATGTCAAGGAAATCGAAGGTAGATTGTCCACATTTATTATCACACTTGCTGGCAGGAGGAATGGAACAGATTCCTGGGTAATGAGAATTATATATCCAATATTATGCTATAACAGCCACACATCTAATGTGGATGCTTCACTAAGTATCAAGGGGCTCATTTGAACAAAGGGCCAACAATAACTAACTTTATAAACAGCTAATGTAGTCTGAGGATCTCAGTCTTAAAATTTTGCTGCTTATTCTTACCTATTCTGATTTTGGTTTTATAATTAATGTGATAATTACATTGCTTCACAATTTGTTGAAATCTATTCCAATGATATTATGGCTTTGAAATACACTATGTTATGTAAGTGGTGGGATTGCATGGTTTTCATTGATCTTAATATCAAACAATTTTTAACAAACAAATCACAGTGAATGTAGATATTATAGACATTGGTACTGTCTTACATGCACCAGAAATATTGAACCAATAAAATGGATCTTGCTTTAAGGTAATGTTTCCTTTTTATTAAGCTGATTTGGGAAATATATCCAAGCTTATACAGCAATTCTACATGTTCTCATTTAATCCTGCTCTGGCAAAAGATGGAAATACGTTCTAATCTAGATGAGATTGCAAATTGTCTCAAATATTTTTCTAAATGTATACATTTAAAAATCAAGGACAGCAGAAAGGATAGGGCAATGAAGGTTGAAAATTGGTTTCCTTATTTTTTTTCTTAGCTTGGAGGCGGATTTGGAAATTTTCTAGTGCAACACCTACCCAAATAAATCAATAATTTCTGCTTTATAAAATAAAATCTTTTCAGTAGAAATGAACAATAAAACCTAAGGACATATTTTAAATGTAGAGGATGGCCTTACTTGAGTTTGCTTAATTCCTGAAATCTGGATTTTATTGTTTAAATGGCCATTTCTTCCTTGAAAAGAAAATCAAGCTGCAGATTTGTGAGTATCAAGAAATGAATAAAGCGATCACTAGAAGCCAACAGGGGCTAGTTAAAAAAAGCACCCTGCCAGACAAACCTTATTACCTTCTTCGATAAAATAACTAAATTAGTGGATTAGGGAGATACTGTGGATATAGCTTACTTGCACTTCAGTAAGGCATTTGGTAAGTCAGTCACAGCCTACTTTTTGGAAAGATAGAAAAAACTGGGATAGACAGCACCACCACCAGATGGCTTCACAGTTGGCTGACCAACTGAACTTGGTGGGTACTCCTTAATAGAACTATATCTACATGGAGGGAAGCATGCAGTGGGGTACTCAAGGTTCTGTCTAGGGCCCAGTACTTCATAAATCATCTAGATGAGGGGATAGAAGGGGAACTCATCAAATTTGCAAATGACAACAAGTTGGGAGGAATAACCAACAGTTTAGAAAACAGACTCAGGATACAGAGGGATCTTGATAGACTTCAACACTGGTCCCTGTCCAACAAAATGCAGTTCAGTGGTGAGAAAAGTAAGGAATAGAATTGAATCGAATTGAATTTCTATACTGCACCAGTGGGGACACAGTTGGAATACTGTGTCCAGTTCTGGTTCCTACAATACAAAAAAGATTCTGAGATTCTAGAAAGAGTGCAGCAAAGAGCAACAAAAATCATAAGTGGTCTAGAGGCTAAATCATATGATGAATGGTTGAGGGAATTAGGTATGCTTAACAGGGAGAAGTCACTTTTGATACTGTATAACATCAGTCCTAAAAGAACTGTGCTACAAATTTGGATTTGACTTCAAGGTTACAGTAATGTTGTTTCTGGTTCTTAATTGTTTAGGGTCATATTCACAGCATTCAGCAAAACAGATGATTAAGATTGCCAAAGCTGATTCTTCCAACGTACAGAAAAATATTTGCTGGCTCAGATCTGAAGTGTACTTGGGAAAGAATTACATTAGGATCAGTGGCTTGTTTCTATTCCCTTATGTAGGTAAGGAGTTTCTACCCATTTCTTACACTGATGGTATCTTTCAGTCAAAATAACATGCAATAATGATAAACAGTACAGAAATATAAAAATGAAAGCACACATGTAGGATACAGTAAAAGCTTTGAAATGAGATCATCACTTGCTCCTGAACAACGATGAAACAGGACATTTCAAGACCTATGAGAAAATTTTAAGTATGAGATCTACAATGAACTCGCATCTGTAATGACAAATTACAGCCTATTGCTTCAAATAATCTCATGTGTCTTCAATGAAATGCTATGAAAATAAATGCCATTTTACTATTAAAGATTTGAAAAATCATAAAGGTTACACCACAAATGTCTTTGCTTCCCACCTTGTAACAGTTCACTGATTTATTTCAGTGTTAATCTCATAATGTGTAATTATGTACTTCCTGTGTAATGGAAGCATTAGCTTTTTTAATTCAAAGCATTTTGAGTTTCATTGTTTATAAGGCTTCCAGAGCATTTGCAAAGACTTTGCTTCTGTCTACATTCTAAAAGAACGTAAAAGAAAGCGGGGAGAAATGGATAAAAGCAAGTTCTGCAATGAATTTAAGAAATAGGTACTTGCTGTAACATCGAGGGGGGAGGGAAATACTTCATGTAAAGGTTACTACAGGTAACCCTTAACTTAGAATTGAATCCGGAATTACAGTTGTAAATTGTGCTGCTCATGAACTTGGTCACCATATGACCATGCCTGATTTTACAACTTTTTT